CAAGCCACTGGCTGTGTGTTAAAAATCTAGTTAAGGCTGGGCATGGTGGCTCACAACTGTAGTCCCAGCCCTTTTGGAGGCTGAGGTGGGCAGATTGCTTGAGTTCAGGAGTTTAAGACCAGCCTGGGCAATGTGGCAAAACCCTGTTTCTACAACAGTTACAAAAATTAGTCTGACATGGTGGTGTGCACCTGTGGTCCCAGCTACTGGGGAGGATGAGGTAGGAGGATTGCTTGAGCCCAGGAGGTTTAGGCTGCAGTGAGCTGTGATTGTGATTGCACCACTGCACTCTAGTCTGGGCGACAGAACTAGATTCTGTCTCAAAAAAAAAAAAGTTATATATTGCCAAATTGTGCTCCAAAAAGGTTGTATGTGTTTATCCTTATGCTAACCATATACGAGACTTTCCTAAATCAACCCTCTTGTCTTTCTCCGTTATCTCAGCTGGAGAAGCGACTGGAAGAGTGGTTGGGGAGGACATTGCCTGGCAGTGACTGGACTCCCAATGCCCGGTTTATCACCCGCTCTTGGCTTCGAGATGGCCTTAAGCCACGCTGCATAACCCGAGACCTCAAATGGGGAACCCCTGTACCCTTAGAAGGTTTTGAAGACAAGGTAAAAACCCTTTTTTATTCATATCATTCAGCCTTGGTGTTGAGACCCTGGGCTAGCAGAATAGACTGCTGATTATGTCTTGTTTCAGTTTGAGACTTTGGATTGGTCCCTAACATGTTTACCTCCTCCTGACCTCCAGGTATTCTATGTCTGGTTTGATGCCACTATTGGCTATTTGTCCATCACAGCCAACTACACAGACCAGTGGGAGAGATGGTGGAAGAACCCAGAGCAAGTGAGCAGTTCTTGGTTAGGCTGTGCATGGGGAGGGTAGGCGGTAGGGTGTGGGTCTTAGGGTTGGGTGTCTGGTCTCCTGGCCTTTGAAGAAGGTCTCAGGAAATCTCTCCTAACTACATTCCCTTAGGTGGACCTATATCAGTTCATGGCCAAAGACAATGTTCCTTTCCATGGCATAGTCTTTCCTTGCTCAGCCCTAGGAGCTGAGGATAACTATACCTTGGTCAGCCACCTCATTGCTACAGGTAAGTACCCTGGAAGACTACTGATGGGGTGTTCATAGGAAATGAGGGTTGAGGCAGTACTTGGAAAAAGATCTTAGAGAGCTGCTGTCTTGAGTTAGGAGTTGAGATGAAATAGGAAATAATTAAAATGAGAACTCAACCTAGAGAAATGAAACAAGAACCTGAAGAAAGCAAAAGTCCAAAGCTAAAACTCTGTAGTAGATACAAGCAAAGACAAAAAAGGGCCAGAATGGATAGGAAAGGACTCCCAAAATCTGAGCATACCAGCCCCTTAAGGAGAAATGTTGCTAGACAACCATAGTTGAGGTTAGAAAGAGGAAAGAAGGAAGAGTTAGTGGGCTAGAGAGGGGAAGGATGTGATTTGAGCAGATAGTTCTCATTCTCCTCTGTCCAGAGTACCTGAACTATGAGGATGGGAAATTCTCTAAGAGCCGGGGTGTGGGAGTGTTTGGGGACATGGCCCAGGACACGGGGATCCCTGCCGACATCTGGCGCTTCTATCTGCTGTACATTCGGCCTGAGGGCCAGGACAGTGCTTTCTCCTGGACGGACCTGCTGCTGAAGAATAATTCTGAGCTGCTTAACAACCTGGGCAACTTCATCAACAGGTGGGAATTGGTAAGGGGTCAGAGTTAGCAGTGAGCTGGGGTGGGGCTCATTTTCCCTCAGGAGATGGGAATGTGGAGAGAACTAGAAAATGGGCAGGAGGCTGTGAGGACAGTGTGGAAAGTTGATTTCTATTAATTGGGATCTGTTCCTAGCACATATGAGGCTATGTATGCTTGATGGAACAGTTAACTATAGAGATGTGATTTAGCAAAGTTGGTTATAAAGTGGGTTTTTGTAAATTGTGTTCTTATTACTGTTCTTTGTAGAATTGAAGATGTATTCTCTCCTAGCAAAATAGTTCACCTGCAGATCATTGAAAACTTTGGCCGAAGAAAGGGGTTATTTTGGTGTGGGGGTAGGAGGCTTCTGTGGGCTGGGCATGGTGCCTTACGTCTGTAATCCCAGCACTTTGGGAGGCCAAGGCAGGAGGATCACTTGAGGCCAGGACTTGCCTGACTGACATAATGAGTCTCCCATTTCTACAAAAATAATCAGCCAGGCGTGGTGGCGCACACCTGTAGTCCCAGCCACTCAGGATGCTGAGATGGGATGGTCTCTTGAGCTCGAGAGATTGAGGCTGCAGTGGAGCAGTGCTTGTACCCCTGCACTCCAGCCTTGGCAAAAGAGGGAGATCCTGTCTCAAAAATAAAAAAAAAAAGACTTCTGCTATACTCAGAGTTTTTGTTACCTTAGGCTCACATTCTATCATTGGTGCCTATCTCAGCTCTTCTGCAATCTAAAGCAGTATCCTCCGTAGCTTAGGATTCTTTCGTCACGCTCTCTGAACCCTGGACCCTTATAGGTCAGTCCTGCTACTCACTTTCAGGTTTGGTCATTAACCACATTTAATAAATAGTCCTTACCTACAGGAGTTCGAGACCAGCCTGGCCAACCTGGTGAAACCCTGTCTCCACTAAAAATACAAAAATTAGCCGAGCATGGTGGCGCACATCTGTAATCCCACCTACTCGGGAGGCTGAGGCAGGAGAATCACCTGAACCCGGGAGGCAGATTGCAGTGTGCCAAGATCATGCCACTGTGCTCCAGCCTGGGCAACAGAGCGAGACTCCTCAAAAAAAAAAAAAAAAAGAAAAAAAAAAGTCCTTACCTAGAGTATTTGTTTGATAGCAATTAACACATATTTCAGCTTGGTGATTTTGAGTAATGACTTCTTAAAAATAAGAAATAAAGTTGTTTAACTTAATCAGGTTTTTTTATGTGCAGAGTCAGATTCTTAGGGGAGAGACAGAGTAAATAATTCATTTGTTAAGCCTTGTCTACTGGCTTAAGGGAGCCAGGAGTTACCTGTTCTAGGCAGGAATCCTGAGAGAATGTACAGTTGTGGAAATGGGGTCAAATTCTAAGGAGGAGAGTGGATAATAACTTCCCCTCTTTTTTCCACTTCTCCTTTCCTACTCCCAACCAAGAGCTGGGATGTTTGTGTCTAAGTTCTTTGGGGGCTATGTGCCTGAGATGGTGCTCACCCCTGATGATCAGCGCCTGCTGGCCCATGTCACCCTGGAGCTCCAGCACTATCACCAGCTGCTTGAGAAGGTTCGGTAAGTAACTGACATCTCTGTCTCATCTGCTGGTGTGTTGAGAGCCTTGTATGGGTCCCTGTAGGACATTACACCTTGGCCTGCTTCCTCCCTTCCCAGGATCCGGGATGCCTTGCGCAGTATCCTCACCATATCTCGACATGGCAACCAATACATTCAGGTGAATGAGCCCTGGAAGCGGATTAAAGGCAGTGAGGCTGACAGGTAGGTAAGCGGGGAGGGTTGGCTAAAGGAATAAAGTGGCTTGTAAGCTGTGTCCTCCTGGAGGTCTTGACTAATATCTCTTCTTCCTCAGGCAACGGGCAGGCACAGTGACTGGCTTGGCAGTGAATATAGCTGCCTTGCTCTCTGTCATGCTTCAGCCTTACATGCCCACGGTTAGTGCCACAATCCAGGCCCAGCTGCAGCTCCCACCTCCAGCCTGCAGTATCCTGCTAACAAACTTCCTGTGTACCTTACCAGCAGGACACCAGATTGGCACAGTAGGTGGAAGAGCCAGCCTGTCTTAAAATTGACACTTTTGCTATGCAGCTTTTGGAGTGGGTGAGAGAAGACCTAACATCTCTCCAGTGTTACTTTGGTCATGGGACTCAAGTTTCTGATATAAAGTCCTTGGTAGTCATTCACAAGTTCAGAATTATCTGTACATCCTCATTGTTCTTCATGCCAGAAACCAGAACCTGGCACACAAAACTAACTGGTAAACAGATATTTGAAGAAACACTGGTCACCTAGTCTCCACAATGCTAGCAGATAGTGGGCAGTGAAAAAGAGGAAATAGCCATTTCCTCTTTGACACAAAATGAAAAAGTAAGTACATCGCTAAACTTCTGGATCAGCCTAGCATCCTTAGAGCGCTTAAAGAATCTGTCCCTATAAATTATTTGGGGTTTCATAGGGAAAGCTACCGCTGATTTCCTAAAATCAGCAGATATTAGCTTAGTGTTATGCTCGTTCTTTCTAAAATATATCAGAGATTGGGGTTGGAGAGGTCATCTGTATAGTCCGGTAGAGACTGTATCTAATCAGCAGATGTTTCTGGAACTTTTTTTTTTTACAGGTCAGTCCCTTGTTCCAAAAATTGGAAAATGACCAGATTGAAAGTTTAAGGCAGCGCTTTGGAGGGGGCCAGGTGAGAAAAGCTAAAGGCTGTGCCCTCGCTCCACAACAGCCACAGCATCACTTCCTTAATTTCCCTAAGTAGTCCTCACCCATCACTCTTTCCATCTTTTGGCCCTGCTGCTTCCTCACTTAGTTTTTCTTTCCTGTCTTAGCTAGAAGAGACCTTCGACTTAAAGGTAATCACTTTCCCTCTGAGATGCTGTATAAAACTGGAGGTTAGGGGATATTTATGGTTGCTGGTGCTAACTTTGTTGTTGTCCTCCAGGCAAAAACATCCCCAAAGCCAACAGTTATAGAGACTGTTACAACAGCCGGGCCACAGCAGATACAAGCGCTGATGGATGAAGTGACAAAACAAGTATGCAGCTTAAGCCCTGTGGGAGACTGGACAAGCTGAATCCTAAATAGATCTTTTTCTTGCCTCACTGTTACCCTTCCCACCCCCCTTTATCTTAGGGCAACATTGTCCGAGAACTGAAAGCACAAAAGGCAGACAAGAACCAGGTTGCTGCGGAGGTGGCGAAACTCTTGGATCTAAAGAAACAGTTGGCTGTAGCTGAGGGGAAACCCCCTGAAGCCCCTAAAGGCAAGAAGAAAAAGTAAAAGACCTTGGCTCATAGAAAGTCACTTTAATATATATAGATATGGACAGTAATAAATAAATGTACAATCTCTATATACAAGCTGAGACCCTTTCCTTTTGTCTACTCCAAGCCTTCCCCCTGAATATGTGGGATTGAGGGTCACATCATTGGCACTAGTGAGAGGGTGGTCAGTAGCCACTTGTGGGAAAGGTGGGTAGTGTGGCCCAAGTGGAGTACTGATGCTCCCCAATTGTTCATGCTTGGTGCAGATTCACCATTCGGTCGATCAGAGCTCGACGAGTCGCCTCTACTTCCCTGGTCAGGCGCTCGATTTCCTGCTTGAGCCGTTCATTCTCTTCAGCTAGCTGTGCCACTTTCCTTTCATTCTCCTGTTCTTTCTCCTTCATGCGCTGCTTTCCAGCCCGGGCTGGGGAATGGCCACTCTGTTTCCGTTTCCTGGTTCTCCCTTGGTCTTCCTCCTCTTCCTCCTGAGCCAGGGAGCTCTGACTGGAATCTGGAGAGCGAGGGCTCTGGGAGGTGGTTGTGACCTCTGCTGGTTCTGGCTCCTCCTCAGTCAGCCAAGCCAGCGAAGCAGGGTCAAGAGTGGTAAAGGTTTTTGATTCTTCCTTCAAGGAAATGAGGAAAGGGAACGTAGATATTAATTGAGAAGGAAAAGGTAACATCCCCCTTTAGCTTTAGGCCTAGCATTCTTACCTCTTCATTTCCAGGAGGTGAGACATAGGTACCCCCATTTTCGTCTGAAGACAGGACCTCTTGCAGGTCCTCATACCAGGCTTCCAGCTCCCAGCTGGACAGTGTCCCGAAGGAGAAAGGCAATGACTCAGCTGCCATCTCTGCAGTTGGATCAGTCTGGAAAAGCACATTTGCAGGGTAATGGGGAGTGGCTGGAACAAGCTCCATGTAGCAAACAGTCTATGCCACAGGTTGGCAAGCTGGTCTGATGCCTGTTTTTGTAGGTAAAGTTGTATTGGAATACAGCCACATCTGTTTATTTACATACTGTTTATGGCTGCTTTGGTGCTACAGTGGCAGAGATGAAGAGTCACGCTAGAGACCATAGGGCTCTTAACATCTAAAATATTTATTATCCTGCCCTTTAAAATTTATCAACTCCTAGTTTATATTAATATTCCCTCCTTGCTTTTGCCCAGGACTTGAAGAAGCAAAGTGCCTGGATATCCATGCTTAGGGGATCTGGAGGACTAGTCAAATTCCTGTCCCCATCAAGGTTAGGCTGAGCTGAAGGACTATTTCCCTGAGCTCCCCACACAGGAGAAGGGAGCACAAATGACCTGGTAATTGCTCCTGGAAACTATCAATAGAGTTTGCAAGTGGGACTGAAGACTAGTGAAAGTTTAACCCTGACTGAAGACTGGTAAGGCAAACCAGTTGTCTTTGTTGGGGCTTTCTTTGAGGACCATCTTTCCATTAGGACATTCTTTAAGAAAAGTGGTTTGCTCACCTTGTAGGAACAAGCCAGGAGAATAGACAGCCTGATAGCAAAAGCTTGCTCAGATTCAAACCCTCCTTTCCCACCTTCTCTAGGTCTTTTCATAATCTCTTAGGGTCTCAGCAAAAGGAGGCTAAGCAGCATCTCTTAGGACTTGGTTTTGGGAAAGGGTAGGTTAAGTTTACCTGCTTTCAGGTGTGGTGATGTATGAAGATACACTTCCTTCTTGAACACTGTAGGCAACAAAGAGAAATGTTAGCCATTTTTGGAAGGGGGAGAGGCAACTTATTTTTTTCTTTTCTTTTGAGACGGAGTCTCTGTTGCCAGGCTGGAGTGCAGTGGCGCAATCTCGGCTCACTGCGACCTCTGCCTCCAGGGTCAAGCGATTCTTCTGCCTCAACCTCCCAAGTAGCTGGGACTACAGGTGCATACCACCGTGCCCAGCTAATTTTTGTGTTTTTAGTAGAGATGGGGTTTCACTGTGTTGGCCAGGATGGTCTCCATCTCTTGACCTTGTGATCTACTCGCCTCCCAAAGTGCTGGGATTATAGGCGTGAACCACCATGCTGGGCCCTTATTTTTCTTTTATCTCCAGCCTCCTACTGGTCCGTCCTTACTTCTGGTCTTGTGGGGTATGCATACTTGGTCCCTGTAGCCATTTCCAAGGGCAGAAGAGGGCCTGACTTTATTTTTAGTTGCTGACATTTGTAGTCCTGGTTACATAATAGCAAAGTTCTGGCCAACTCAGCTTTCTCTAAATTCAAGGCAGGCCTTAAACCTGCCAGGGTAAAGACTAAACTATAGGGAAGGGAACAAATCGTAGCATTTTCCTAACTCCATTCCCACACTGACATCCTGTAGCATTTTCCTAACTCCATTCCCACACTGACATCCTCCAAATGTGTATTTCCAGTCTGGACCTCTTCCAGAACTTCCGACTCTGCTGTCTACTGCCTACTTGCCATTTCTTTTTCAATGTCTAATAGGCACCTAAGACTATGTGGAAACTTGTTGATTTTCCCCTTCCAAGGTCATCCCCATCTCAGATGACAACTCTAGTTGCTTAAGCTAAAAACCTTGGTATCATCCTTCATTCCTCTCACACCCTGCAATCCAAAGTACTAGCAAATTTTAACTTTTTTTTTTTTTTTTTTTTGAGACGGGTCTCCCTCTTTTTGCCCAGGCTAGAGGGCAGTGGCGCAATCTCCGCTCTGCAACCTTTGCCTCCCGGGTTCAAGCGATTCTCCTGCCTCAGCCTCCTGAGTAGCTGGGATTACAGGCATGCACTACCATGCCTGGCTGATTTTTGTATTTTTAGTAAAGATGGGGTTTCACCATGTTGGCCAGGCTGGTCTTGAACTCCTGACTTCGTGTGATCCACTCCTCTGGTCTCCTAAAGTGCTGGGATTACAGGCATGAGCCACCATGCCCGGCCCTTAACTCATTCTTTAAAAATGAGTTTTTAAAACTTTGCTTAGAAGAATCTAAACACCTCTAATTCCATTCTTTCCAATCTAGATCAATTCACCACCATCTCTCAATTACTGCAGAAACTTCCTGATTGCAGAAGGTCTTCCCATTTCTTCTCTTGCCACCCCTCCGTAAGTCTATTCACCATACAGCAGCCTGAGTGAACCTTTTAAAACAGGTCATTCCTCTGCTCAAAACTCTCCAGTGACTTCCTATGTCATGTCAGGGAAGTCATTGGAGGGTTTTGAGAGGAGGAATTACCTAAGGTAATTCCTGACCACCTGATGTAACACAGTAACCTCCATCCTGAACATTCTCCATTCCTTTCTCTGCTTTAGCTTTCTCCATGGCACTTATATTTTGTTTACTGTAGGCCTCCCACTGAGATGATTTTTTCCTCTTGCTCACGGATGTTCCCTGAGCCCCAAACTGTTTGGCACACAGTAGGTCCTCATTAAGTATTTGTTAAGAATGAATGAATTCTCCCCAATCTCTCTTATAGGGAAGGGGCAGACGCAGAGTGGCAGCTGCCGATCCCTAGGGACTGGAGATGCAATATTGCCCGAAATATTTCTCTGCAGGGCTGTCCTCCCTGGGGAACCCTCCCTTGCCTTCCAGTATGTGGGACTTGGCTTTCATCAGCAGTGGAGCCTCAGGTCAGAAGGCTGCAGAGCCAAACGGGGCTGGCCTGATGCAATGGTTACACAGAGATTAGCTGGGAGACAGGACCGGGTTAAAGAGGCAGGGACTAATCCCGAGGGAAGGACGATACCCTGGGGAGACCCCAAATGGCCTCCTACACTTAAGAGATCCAGGCTGCTCTCTTGTGCGGGAGGCCCAGAGACCTCTACGGTAAAGGGAAAACACACCGCTCCCTGTCCATCGGCACCCCTCCCAAAGGCTTGTGTCAAGGTTCCCCTTTCAGCCCTGCAGGGTCCAGTAGCCCCAGCTACCGAGGTGGCCATGCTGACACCAGAGACGCTGAGACTGAGACAGGATTGGGGGTAGGGTAGGGAGAAGGCCGATGGTGGCGAACGGGCGGAAACGGCTTGAGCGATGGTAACTCAGTCTTAGAGCGGGGGTGTGTCCTGCTGCCTCCCCGCGGACAGGCCTAACGAGGTGGCCTGAAGTTGGCTACGGGAGAGAATGAATTTCCCTAGGGCAGCCGAGGTCCCTTTGCCCAGCAGCACAGAGCAGGGCCCATGCTCCGGCTCCGGGCAGGGGTGGAGAGACGCTGTCGTCCGAAGCAATGGGGGTTTGTAAGCACCACCCCAGAATAAGGGACTCTCCCCATTCCTCTCTCGGACGGTCCCTGACTTCACTGTGGAGGCGTGAGGCCAATCCTAAAGAGCGGATGCCCCAACTCTGAGGAGACAGGAGGGTAAAGGGCAGATGGGAGTCAGTACTCGCCTCTCTCCTCAGGTTCCAGCTCTGATTTTGGCTCTGTCGCTGCCACCCGCTCATCTTCAACATGATACGCTCAGTGCCTTAGACTTAAGCCTCTGACCTCGGGAGCGCCTAGCTGTAATCTTTTACCATGGCCTTGCCCTCCTCTCAGGGGCGGGACCCCAAAACCTACCAATCAGAAAGTGGCACGCCGGCATTGGCCCCGCCTCGTCCCTCGTATCCGCCACTCAGGAGCTCCGCAGAACCGCCCCCGTCGCTCCCTCTCGCTAGGGGGTCGACGTAGTGTCGGACCCGGAAGTGGCTTTGGGTCACGAGGCTTCACGGAGGCGGTGGGTGAGTCATGCGCGCGCGCGGAGGGGAGTGTAGCGGGGGGAGGGGAGGAAAGGGGGGCGGGGATGATGCAATGTTTGGCAACCGGTGTCTGCACGCGCACGCGCAGGGGACTACGAGGGTGGTGGGAGGTGCAGAGGGTGGGGGAAAGGAGAGAGGGCGGGGCGCCAGCTCCCGGCGCCCAACGGCCCCAACGGCTATCAGCGTTGGCCGTCCGTAGTCGGTCGTGTGGAGCCTCTTTGCCGCTTGTCTCCCCCAGAAGCTGCTGTTCCGCCCACCGAGCTTTAGCCGGCGTTTTACCTCCACTATAAGGGACTCCCATTTTCCTTGGCCCCTCCCAGCTAATGGTCATATAGGCCTTTTGAACTTTTCCTTTGAAAGTTGGTATCCATCCACTGGGATTGTCGACATCTCGAGAGTCTTAGAGAGGTCTCCGGGCTCGGTGACTCATGCCTATAATCCCAGCACTTTGGGAGGCTGAGGAGAGCGGATCACCTCAGGTCAGGAGTTCCAGATCAGCCTGACCAACATGGTGAAACCCCGTCTCTACTAAAAATACAAAAATTAGCCGGGTGTGGTGATGCGCGCCTGTAATCCCAGCTACTCTGGAGGCTGAGGCAGGAGAATCGCTTGAACCCTGGTGGCGTATGTTGCAGTGACCGAGATCGCGCCACTGCACTCCAGCCTGGGTGACAGAGCGAGACTACGTTTCACCGAAAACGAAAAACAAATAAAAAAAACCGGGGTGGTCTAGCCCCGTAAATCTCCCAAAAGGGGCCGAGGTACTGGAATCCCTTGGTAGTCATTTTCCGCTTCTCTCACAACAGCGCCCTTGACTTTTACCTTGGAGTTGCTAAGCCCTCAGCCTGCCAGAAGTCATGTATTTTACCCAGTGGACCCAATTCTGTTTGGCCACCTATTTTCCCCCACTGTACTCTTACGGCTTTCTCCAATACCAAGACCCTCTCTTGCTGTACCAGACAGCAAGTCCTGTGACTCCCTGCTGTGAGGAGCGCGGCACAGGCCTGCCTCCTAGGTGTTCGGGTCGAGATTTACAGCGGAGTCTCATCCTGGGACGTGTAAGTGCACTTCAGCGCAGGACCGCCGTGGACTAGGGAGACCGGGGCCGCGATTTTAGCCTCAACTCCCCCTCACTTACCAAGGGATCTTACCGTCCTTGTTTGTAAATCAACGAGTTGTAAGGGTAAAATGAGAACCATGAACTTGGAGGCAACTTGAACAAAAGTAAAACGCACCACGCAGAATGCAAAGTATTTTTCTTGTGCCTTGAAAACAGAGGCCATGTGGTGGCCTGTTACATATCCTGTCATACCCTCATGGGGGCAGCCAGAGTTTAAGTAGAAACTGTCACAAGGCCGGTTGTGACTGGAGTGGTGTTTCTGTGACAGGTCTTTGGTTAGGCTGCTCCGTTGCTCCACACCTCCATTTCCCCTCTGAAAATGGGGGTGGTGTGGGGGGTGGACCAGATGGTCTCTCCTGGCCTAAAGACAGACCAGGTTGTCAGTGACAGGCAGAGGTCATGTGACTTGACAGGCCGAGGTCGTGTTGTGACATGTTGACCTGGAGAGGCGGGTCAAGTCCCAGCACACTACCCGGGAAGCCTTTGGGGCGGGGCAGGGCAAGTCGCGACTTTCATCTTTCGGGCCTGGCCCCTCCCGGACCTGGCATTCCTGGCTCCCGCAACAGACTGTGGCTTTGGAAGGGGCCCCTCCCCGAGGAGGGCTGGGATTGGCCACCAGTGGCCTGGGGAGAGGCGCAGATCCTTCCGCGGAGGGAGGGGGGCCGCGTGGGGTGTTTGTTCTCTTGGGGATTAATGGGGGGTTGTGGGGGAGGGGTAGGCGCGCTCCCGCATGCGCACTGCGGCCCCTCCAGTTGGCTCGTCGCTGTCCGCTGGGCGGGGGCCCGGCCCCGCCCCTCTCCCGGCCGGGCAGCGGCGGAGGCGGCGGTGGCTGCGGCGGTGGCTGCGGCAGCGACGGCGGCGGCGGCGACAGCGGCAGCAGCCTGCGCAGTGCCTTCTGGGAACGGAATCCCCAGGGCTGCCCCTGGCCCCCATGGCGCATGCGCGGGAGGCCGCTCGGTGATCCGCGGCGGCGGCAGCGGCGCTTCCTGCTAGGACCGGCCGGGGCCGTACCGGAGGCTCGGGCTCCACCGACCCTCCTCCCACCCCCTCCCACTCACTCTCTGGGCCGCGACTGCGCAGGGCGGGGCCGGCCGAACCATGGGCCGCGGTGAGTGCGGGGCCCGGCCCCCCCACCCTGCCCCTCCCCCTCCCCTCCCCTCCTGTCCCTACCCTCTGCCCCCTCCGCGTCCTCTCGGCCCCTTTCCCCGGCCCCATCCCCACTCCCCCGCCCTCACCTGCCCCCGCCGCTTCTCCCTCTCACTGCCTGACTTCTGCCTTCTTCACCGCCCTCCCCTCAGTGCTTCGCCCACCCTCCGCCCGCCCTCTCCCCAAGTTCCTTCCTACTTCGTGCGCCTTCCCCTCCTCCTCAAGCTGAGGGAAGCAGTCTGGGTGACAGGGCGCCTTGTTATGAGAGGGAAAGTTTGGAAGCCGCCAGTGTGGGGTGGGAGCGATGGTGAGTCTGGGGAGGATACCTGCAGATTGGAGGGGCTTCCCCTCCTATTGGAGGATAGGCTCTCTTGGAGATATCGGAGAACAGGCTCTTTTGGAGTCAGTGGGATAGGAGGTACTGAATCTCTTTGCCTTAGGCTTGAGGGAAAATCAGGAGCTTCTCAGGATCCTGGGAAAAGACTGAGCTGTGATCCTCACCTTTTAAGACCCGAATGAACTAGATCAGCGATTGTCTGATGGAGCAGGCATGGGGGGAGTTCTGCTGGTACCACCCCAGCGGGCAGTTGGGCAATTGCCTGGTGACCTGTGGGGCAATCTGTACTTTTTATATCATCTTCCTGGGTAGGGAACGACAGGAGCCAGACACTCTGGGAAACTTCCTAGTGGCCTAGCATTATGGGAATGTGCCCATACTCCTGGTTGAAGTCTTCAATTCCGAATGGACGGAGGCCTTGCCCTTCATATGCCTAAGAATTGTGCTAGACTTTCTTGGTCCCAGGGAGCTGAGGTTCTGACCCTCTGGTCCCTAGGGACTGGGCTTGGAAAGGATGGTTGTAGACTAAGCCAGCAGATCCCCGAGGTCTTTATAGGCGCTTGCCTCACATTGTTAAGGATTTTTCTCTTGAGAGGATGTAAGGATCTTTCTCTTGAGAGGGTGCTGGGCTGTGGTGCTCTTCAGAGTTGGGCAGACTCCTGATAGTCCCATCTCTCTACTTTGCGTTGCAGGTGTGGGCTAAGCTGGTGGCCCCGGCTTTAGACTGGACCCCACAATGTTTGCAGAGATGTTCAGGTAGCTGTGGTGATACGGCAGAGGACTCCTCATTCTCCCTCCCAGCTCTCTGAGGGGTTCCCCTTGCTCCTCTGGGGCTTTCCCTGAGTTTTCTTGGGTCTCCCCACAACCTTTGCCTTCCTGGAGTTCTCCCTCAGGTACCTCGCCCAGTTTAATCCTCCTAGTGCCTACATGGATGTCTGTGTTATCAGGCACGCGGGAGCTGATTACACACAATGAATGGGGGCAATGAGAGCAGTGGAGCAGACAGAGCTGGGGGCCCTGTGGCCACATCTGTCCCCATCGGCTGGCAGCGCTGTGTGCGAGAGGGTGCTGTGCTCTACATCAGGTACGGATCTTCCCAGGTCCCCAAGCTCTGCCACTCCAGTTGCCCGGGTTTTCTTTCTTCCGCTTCTCCTCTCAGCTCAGCTCTCTGGTACCCGATTGCTCTCCTCTCTTCCCCTTCCTTCCTCAGCCTTTATGCTTTCTGTAGCTCTTGGCCTTTGAATCCATTCTCCCTCTTTCTGTGTCTTCCCACATTCCTTATCCTCTGTTCTTCTAGGAGGATCTGTAACTTAAGCACTGTGCTTTAGGAGTATTGCCTGATTCACTGCCAGCTAACGCCATGTCCTCTGACCCTGTCCTCTTCCAGTCCAAGTGGCACAGAGCTGTCTTCCTTGGAGCAAACCCGGAGCTACCTCCTCAGCGATGGGACCTGCAAGTGCGGTCTGGAGTGTCCACTTAATGTCCCCAAGGTCAGAGTGGTGAGGGGTGCCTGAGAGTACAGAGATAAGCTAAAAGTCTTAATGCAAATCACTGACTGAGGTAGCCCTTTCCACAGATTCCAGCCCCTCAGGGTCCCTGTCCTTGCTTTCCACCTTACAGGTTTTCAACTTTGACCCTTTGGCCCCGGTGACCCTGGGTGGGGCTGGGGTGGGGCCAGCATCAGAGGAGGACATGACCAAGCTGTGCAACCACCGGCGGAAAGCTGTTGCTATGGCAACTCTGTACCGCAGCATGGAGACCACCTGCTCACACTCTTCTCCTGGTGAGTCTTCTGCCACTTTACAGAAGACGGAGGAAAACCTAAGGGCTTGGAAGGCTGGTGGTGGGAGTTCCATGAGAGAGAGCAAAGAGAAAGGGGAGTGGGTGGGGAGCTATGTGGTGAGAGGAGGGCACAGGGAGGTTGGGAACTTGTGGGAGATGGGACTAATGAAGACAAAAGAAAGTTTTTGGAAGGGGAGCCACAGGCTGACCCTTCATTTTTCATTTATTGCAGGAGAGGGAGCGAGCCCCCAAATGTTCCACACTGTGTCCCCAGGGCCCCCCTCTGCCCGCCCTCCCTGTCGAGTTCCTCCTACAACTCCACTTAATGGGGGTCCTGGCTCCCTTCCCCCAGAACCACCCCCAGCTTCCCAGGCTTTCCCCACTCTAGCAGGCCCTGGGGGGCTTTTCCCACCAAGGCTTCCTGACCCA